TACACATTCTAATAGGATATGTGTTAAATCTCCATATTTACCACAAGTACAGTTTGGAGTGTCTGCTAGATCCATTTTGTACATTCTTGAAGGTGTTAGAGCATGATTTGACCTTAGCCTATTAATAGTTTACTTCTGTTGGACTCTGAATAAAACCACCTTTTTTTAAGAAGTGTGGGTTGCCAAAATTTAAATGATGACTGTCTTTTGGATTCCGCATAATTGGCTTGCCATTTTAATTTGAGCCGTTGTTTACTATATACATCCAGGTATATATCTATACCTAGATGTATACCTATATCTGACACCGGTAGAATATTGTTGACTATGGTTTCTCCGCTTGATAATGCTTCTTTTGCCAATGCATCTGCTATTATATTACCCTTTATCCCAGAATGGCCTTTGATCCATGCGATAATAACTTCTCCGAGCTTTGAAACCTCGTAGTACAATTTTAATATCTCTATATCAAGATGAGTCAATTGCTTGGATTTATTTGTTTCACATAATCTTTCTACTGCACTTTTACTGTCTGTAAATATTACACAGTTCTTCATTTCCTTTGTCAAAACGTGAGAAAGAGCAAACTTTAAACCCAGCATTTCGGATGTGTAGATGGAGGCTTCATCAGGTAACTTATATTTATGATGTTGTCCGGAATACTGTTGGTGTACTGCGCAAGCAGTCTTATTTTCCTTTTTTGAACCATCGCCATCGGTAAACATATAATAATAATTAAGCCATCTCTTCTGAATTTCTGCGTTAAATATGGGGCCTTGGACATCATTGAGAAATTCTGTCTTGATTTTTATTGAGAACAGTACATGAGGCTTTTCAGTATAAACTAGTAGAAGGTGACCCTTATAAAGTACCTCTTTAAATTTAGAAAGATTTCTGTAGCTTTCCGCCACGAGTGGAGATTTTTTCTTAAACCAATATCTTTTAGTCAAATCTAAAACAGCCAGATTGTGTATATCTTTGAGAAATACTTGGTCTCTGCTAATGGTACGAGCTATATATTTGTCGGTAAGATACTGCCTCCGTAAATTCAATGGCGGTTCAACAGCTTCAATTTCCATTACATTAATTGGTGTAGATTTCAGATACCCAAGGCACAAGCGTAGGCACTTATTTCTCTGTATCTCAATTTTTGTTAGATGAGTGTTCGATGCATTACCATACAAGTGACAGCTATAATCGAAAACTGGTCGTATCATAGATCGATAAAACATTAAACTAATGTTGGGATCTGCACCCCAGTTTGTTTTACAGAAAGCTCTTAGGATATTCATAGCTTTTTCGGTTTTTTTAATGATATGTTGAATATGATCTTGATCTTTCCACAAAAGTTTTCTGTCTAAATAAGTTCCCAGGTATCTGACACAATTTTTAATTGGAAATTTGAATTGACCACAATTTATATACCCTTCTGGAGTTCTATGTTTTCTAGAAAAGAAGCAGATTTCTGTTTTGGATTCTGATAATGTTAATCCATTTGATTCATAAAATGCATGTATTGATGAAATAGCTGTTTTTAAATTATTTTTAGAAACATCAATTGATTTGTCTGATGAGTAGAGTACCACATCATCTGCATATTGTAGTATTTTGGTGTTAATAGGAACAATGACTTCTAAATCTATATTATATAAAATATATAAAAGTGGACTTAAAATACTTCCCTGCGGCAGTCCTATATTAGACAGTCGCGGAAAAAAATGTTCTCATTGATTTTTAAGTAAATCAATCTCTCTGAGTAAAAAGTTTTCAAAAAGGATGTTATACCTATAGGTATCCCGACTGACAATAACTTTTATTCAAGGATATCCAAATTTATATTATCAAAAGCAGATGATACATCCAGAAATGCAGCTGCAGTGGATGAGTTTTCCGTGAAATTGACTTGAACTGATGTTACGAGAGTAGTTATGGCATCTTGAGTGGATTTATATTTACGAAAACCAAATTGGGAGTTTGGAAGAATGTCATTAAATTCTAACCAATGTTCAAATCTATTTTTAATTAGTCTTTCCAGGGTTTTAAGAAGACAAGAAGCTAGAGATATTGGGCGATATGAATTGTGATCGTCATCACGTTTGCCAGGTTTCCTTATAGGTATTATAATATACTCCTTCCAGCTTTCAGGAATTGGTGCTTGTTTCTGCCAAATATTATTTAGAACATTAAGTAGATAGATTTTATGTTCATTTGTCAGATTAGAGATCATGGAATAAGATATATTGTCTTTACCAGGGGCAGTATTATTATTTTGTTTGAGGACCCTTCTTAGTTCCCATAGATAGAACGGACGATCTAAGCTAAGGTTATCTCTAGAAACAGTGGCTATGGAGTTGTTAATATCATTCGGAACCCAATCTGGTGAAATTTTTTGGTAAAAATCTGTTATCCATGGTTCGTCTAGGTCAATGCATAAATTATTGGATTGTTTGCGATTTTTGAAGCAATTAACCTTCCTCCATACCTCCTTAATTTTAAATTTATTTTTATTTAATCCCTCCAGTTTTTCCTTTTCTTCTCCTTAAAGGTTTTCTTCGCTAATGCGTCCATCTTTTTATATTCCATTAGGTTACTTATTGTAGGATTTTGCTTATATTTAATATAAGTTAATTTTCTGCGTCGGGCTGTTTCCTGGCACGTCTTGTCCCACCAAGGTTTTGGAATGTGACAAATTAATTCTATTTGTTCACATTAATTCGCACAATACTGTAATTATGGAATAATTATTAAATAAGGAACAGTCTAAAAATATAATCATGGTTTTAATATTAACACATATCTTTCAAAATTATGTCCAGTCTCTGAACTCTACTGACTCAGGATTTAGCATCAAAATAACACTACTGTTGTGGCGAAGTTTAATCATCTGTTGTATATGGATGATTTGAAGTTAATGGCTTCTACTCAAAACCACCTAGATCAGATGCTAAAAACTGTAGAAACTTTCTTAAATAATATCAGTATGCATTTTGGACTAGATAAGTGCCGTATACTAAATACAGTCAGAGAAAAGGTTCAGCATGGAAGTTTCGATATGCAAGATGGCTAAAACATCGAGGCAATGGGTGGAAATAATATGTACAAATATCTCGCAGTACAGCAAGCGCGAAAAATTGTCCATAAACTAATGAAAACCGAACTAACTTCCGAGTTCATACGAAGAGTAAGACAACTAAATCAGTCATATCTTCTTCTTCTTCTTCAGTGCCTTATCCGGTCCGGATGTTGACGATCATCAAGGCTATCATGGTTTTGTTGACTGCTCTGCGAAGCAGCTCCGCTGAGGTCATCCCAAACCATTGTCGGAGATTTTTCAACCACGAGATACAACGGCGTCCCGGTCCTCTGCCAAATACTTTACCCTACATAACGAGTTGAAGAATTCGATATTTTTCTTCGTTCCGCATCACGTGGCCGAGGTACTCAAGGTTACGTTGTTGATCATATCATAATAGTAAAAATTTGTTTTAAATACATACGCCTGTTACGCGCTGAGCAACCCATTTGGTATTATAAGGTGGTCAAAAACGGATATAGAGAGTCTTCAGCGGAGTGCAAGAACACTTCTTAAAAAAGCGCTGAAACACCATCCTCGCAGTGCAGTAGAGAGAACAACATTACCGCGATATCAAGGGGAAAGATGACTTATGGACATCGGTGAGCAATTGGATAAACAGGTTGCTAATTTAAGAACTTATTTTCAGATACAGGCTGAGACAATTTTCTCATATCGAGCAATATGCGCAGTCGATGATACAACGCCGCTTAAACTGAGGAAACAAGAAATGCGCATAAACCATCTGACTAAGCAAGAAAAAATGCACACTTGTATAAGTAAACCTCTGCATGGGCGACATCTCAATGAGATCAGTCAAGAATATGTCGGCAATACAGCGTGGAACTATTGATTGGCATCAGGAAAGATGTTTCCCGAGACTGAGGGCTTTCTACTTACCTTTTAGGATCAAGTTATTCCTAACTTATTAACTAAAAATTACCTGAAATATATTGTTAAAGATCCTTAAGTCCAAAATGACAAATGCCGATATGGATGCTAAGACCAAGAAACCATTCAACATCTTACCGGGGGCTGCAGGTGTTTGTCGGAACTGATTATAAAGGAACGCCATAACTCAGTAGGGAAGATTATCCACCAAGAACTAGCTAACAAACTGGAACTTCTCCAACCCAACCATCTTCCTTATTATCAATATGTCTGACAGAATACTTGAAACTGACAACTAGACGCTGTACTGGGACCGCACTGTGCTCACAGACCAACCAGTGACACATAATAGACCTATCCTCATATTATTTAATAAACTTACCAGGCAAACAACACTTATTGATGTGGCGATACCTAACACCAATAATTTGCTAATTTGCTAAATACAACGAAAAGATCGCCAAGTATAGAGATCTAGAAATACAAATCAGGAAACAATGGAGAATGGAAAGTACCCAGACACTACCTATTGTTATATCTACTACTGGTGTTATTCCCAAAAACCTCCTAGCGAACATAAAACAGCTGGGTCTAAATGAACATCTTTATAAGGCCATGCAGAAAGCTGTACTGCTCGCGACTTCTAGATGTGTACGAAAATTTTTGGGAGATATTCCAGCAAACCAAGTCACCCAAGACTCGATAACACGGAAAGAGTCCCACCAGAGCTCAATCTTTTTGATACCGTTGGTATCTGGGATGAGTGAATTTTCCCCTTAGAGGGAGTGTGAGCCGTATGGCTAAATCTGGATATTCGTTAAATAACACAAAACATATAACAAATTCAATCATATATGTATAGAAATATAAGTGAAGTTAGGCTTGTTTTTTTTTTCTACATGTAATTTGACAACTTACGTCAAAATAACGGTTCTTTAAATAAAAGTTCTCTGGCCTGTATTTAATTTCAATACAGGCAGCGTTTATTTCCAGTTTGGCAACAACAATTAATGTATCCCAATTCCCAAAAGATTTTATGTTCGGTACGTCAACCGCATCCTATCAAATCGAAGGTGCATGGAACGAAGATGGTAAAGGAGAAAATATTTGGGACAAAGTAGTTCACAGGGTGCCATCACCAGTTATTGATAACTCAACCGGAGATGTAGCTTGCGACTCCTATCACAAATTTAAAGAGGATGTGGCTATGCTTAAATATTTGGGAGTCACCCATTATAGATTTTCGTTGTCTTGGTCCAGGATTCTACCCACAGGTGAGCACTATAGTATATTATTTTAACACAAATATATTACTGTTTCTAATTAAACATAAATCAAACGATGTATTAGGCGTATTTGCTATTTGCTCTGTATGTCTACTAAAGTGTTGAATTTTTCAGGATTTAATAACAAAATCAATCCCCTTGGAATCGCTTATTATAAAAACCTCATCAAAGAACTGAGAGCCAACAACATCGAGCCTTTGGTAACTATATTCCATTGGGATACACCTCAACCATTGGAAAACTTAGGGGGATGGACCAACGAACTAATAACTGACAGATACGCAGATTACGCCAAGGTGGTATTTGAAAATTTCGGTGATCATGTTAAATATTGGTTGACATTCAATGAGCCCAAACAAACCTGCAATGGAGGTTACGGTAACATGCAAAGAGCACCTCTTGTTGATTCACCTGGTATTGGGGAATACCTTTGTACCCATAACGTTCTTAAAGCTCACGCGAAAGCGTGGCATTTGTATGATAAACAGTTTCGTAGTACACAAAAAGGTAAGACAGTAATGTTATAATTTTTCATGAACTTCGACTTTTGCTATACCAATTTCAATCTCCTTTTTTTTTTCCTCCCAGGCGTTTTTGGGCTTCGTTTTTCACTACATATAGGAGCTCGTTTCTTTATGTTGAATGGGTTAATTGCATAATTTTTTACATTTTAGGAAAAGTTGGGATGACCATAGATACAGCATGGTTAGAGCCAGACACTAATAGTACTAAAGACGTATATGCTGCAGAACGAGGACAGCAGTTTGTCGTGAGTAGATTATAAACCATTTGCCTTTACATGAACAGTAGAACATAAATTACTTCTCACTTTAAATTTCCTTCTTTGAATTTGATAATATTTGTTATCTTAAAAACATATATTGTTCCCTTATTAGATCCGTATTGGAATATGGTAGGGACATATGGTCTCCGCATTATAAATTCTATAAAGATATATATTACAAAAGGATGAATATTTATAAGTGCGATCAGGCAGGCAAGGGGAAACCACCTGATTAAATTCCCGTGACTACACCATCATGAATATATCGAATCAGTTAGATATGCTTAGCGATCTGATTAGCGAGCGGCGCTCAGTTGGTTCCGGGCCAATTAGTGTCAAATGGGCTACAGGGCATGTGTTTGTGAGCAGCCAGGCAACACATGCGAAATTGGCGCCTGGAAGAAAATCAGATTTTGAGCAATGGGAATAGCAACCTGGAATGTTCGAGGAATATTGCAACCAGGCAAACTGCATATACTACAAAAAGAAGTCGAAAGAGAGTATATAGAAATATGCGGACTTTCGGAGACCCATTGGAAAGGACAAAGACACTTCCGAACGGCAGATCATGTTGTATACATAATAATATCGGGAGCAAATAACACAGGAAGAAATGATGTTGCAATTATGGTGACTAAAAAAGTTTCACAATACGTGTATGTTTACCAACCGATAAATGATAGACATAAAAATAACCTTACTAACATCACCAAACAAAATGCACATTCTTCAGGTCTATATGCCAACCTCAGACGCGTTAGGCAATGAAGTGGTAGACGTATACTCCTATGTTGAAGATACAATATGAAATATTCCATCTAAAGAACCACTCATAATTATGGGCGATTTTAACGCTAAGGTAGGAGAAACAAGAGATGATAACATCCAAAATGTAGAAAACTATGGGTTAGGTGTTAGAAACAGCCGAGGCGAACGTTTAATAGATATTGCAACCGAAAACAGTTTGACCATTGTAAACACAATGTTCAAACATCATGCCCATCGTTTGTCGACGTAGACCAGCCCAAATGAAGAATACAATAACCAAATCAACTACATATTGATTAGAAACAGATGGAAGACATGTTTTACAAACGTAAAAACTAGAGACCAAGAGCTGAATGTGGATCCGATCATAAATTGTTATAGGCTTGCTTCAATATGAAACTAAAAAAAAACAATGCCGCACCAAAATCAAAACAGGCTGGAGATTTTAAATCCGAAAACATTTAGAGATGCATTAAAGAAACTAGTATGTTGGACACACCATACAACCCAGAAGAAATGTGGAAAGGTTTCAGAAATGCCATAGAAACCTCTATAGAAAGAACCAGAACCGAAAACAAGATCATAAAAAAACACTGGATGACAGACAGAACGCAGCAACTTCTCGAAGAGCGAAGGAGAATCAAATCTCTCATATATCAAAACGACAACAACAAAAACGAATTAGCAAGCTTAAATGGAGAAATTAAAAGAGCATATAGGGATGATAAAAATAAACATATAAATGAAGAATGCGAAGAACTAGAGAGACATGCAAACTGGTATGAATCACATGAGCTATATAACAAAGTCCGATATCCATCCAGGGAATTTAAACCAATCACAAAAACAATAATGGATCAAAACCAACATATTACAAATGACGCGAAAAGGATTGCCGGAAGTATGGAGAAAATATTGTCAAAGTCTATACGCAGATAATCCCCAGAATGCAAATCACGATGAGTTCACTGCAGAGAGAGAACCAAACATTCTAGTCAGAGGTAGAAAAAGCAATCATTAAGTTAAAAAATAGAAAATCTCCTGGCGCAAACGAGATCACCGCAGAAGTTTTAAAAGAGACTGGAGATGTTGTAGTATATGTTATGCATATGATCTACAAAAAGATTTGGGAAACCGGAGAGAGGCCCAACGACTGGACAACATCCATTTTCATTCCTATATTCAAAAAAGGAACTCCGCTAGATTGCAGCAACTATAGAACGGTAACCCTAATATCCCATGAAAGCAAGGTTCTACTTCATGTAATACATGAAAGATTAAAAGCTTTTCTATTGCCTCAGATATCAGAAGAACAAGCGGGATTTGTCCCAGAAAAAGGTACAAGAGAACACATCCTTAATGTCAGACAGTTAATCGAAAAAACTCGTGAATTCAATACTCCTATGCTTATGTGCTTTGTGGATTACACAAAGGCCTTCGATAAAGTCAAATGGCAGCAGCTATGGTCCATACTAGCGGAAATGGGAACACCCCACCACTTAATTCAACTAATTAGAACTCTATATAAAAATACGAGACCCATTCCGATCATTTCAGAACAGAGACAGGTGTCAGGCAGGGATGCACAATCTCGCCAACTCTGTTTAATATCTACAATTATGCGAAAGGTACTAGACGGATGGAAGGGCGGAATATCAGTAGGAGGTCAAAAAATCAATAACTTGAGATATGCTGATGACACTTTAATAATTGCGGCAAATCAAGAAGAAATGGAAGACATAATGAGATGTTTGGAGGAAAAAAGCAAAACATATGGACTAAAGCTAAATAGGAGTAAGACAAAGATCATGATAGTAGACAGAGCTCGGAATAATCTTCAACACAGAGAAATTGCGGACTTTGAAGTAGTATATACTTTCATATCCCTGGGGTCCCTAATAACAAATGACGGAGGGTGTGACAGAGAAATACGTAGAAGGTTGACTATTGCTAGAACAAGTATGATGAAACTGGTAGCAATTTGGAAAAATTCTAGTATAACAATACACATAAAACTAAGGCTGGTAAGGGCGCTTATTTTTCCCATAGCCATATATGCATCCGAAACGTGGACCTCAAAGAAAGCAGATAAAAATAAACTGGACGCTTTTGAAATGTGGGTATACCGCCGCATGTTGAGAATATCCTGGATTGATCATCGCACTAACGTATCGATATTAGAACAACTTAAAGTAAAGGATATATTGCTTAAACAAATACAACAGAGATCTTTGCAGAACAGGTACGATGGAAAAACTGATAGTCGAGGGTAGAGTTAAAGGAAAGAGACCTAGAGGAAGATCTCCAAGCCGTTGGGTAGATAAAACAAAAATATTGATTAACCAAGGGTTACATGAAGCCGAACAACTAGCCCAGGACAGAGAAGGATGGAGGGAAATTGTGAAAAAACTGTAAAGGCCTGATGGTGTCACCACATCCCAAAAGGACTGTGGATGACGAGGAGGAGGAAATAAAATGAAATGTAAATGTTTTACAAATCTTTACTTAAATTGCTTACTCTTGAAGAAAGACGAATATTGCCAGATGTAGCTTACATCATTTTATAAATTAATATAAAAAAGTATGGATGATAGTGCTCTTTTGAAAAAGGTTTACTTCCGTACTCTCAAGGAGACACCAAATCTCAAGAATTATTTTATATAGAATTCCATTATCGAACTTTTACTGAAAATAAACCCGTAGAGAATATGTAGAAATGCAAATCAATTTTTAACTAAGTACTATTAAGAATAAGATTGAAAATACCTTTTTATGTAATCAGACCGTGCTGTTATAGTTTAGGTTAAATTTAAGAAGAATTGTAAAAAATGAAACTCCGTAAATAAACATTACATTGTATTCTATCTAATTAGCCTTCTTCGGTCCATCTTTGGACATAGGCCTCCCCCATCCTTTTCCATTCTTCTCTGTCTGTCACTACAGTCATCCATCTAGAGCCAACGTGCTTCTTGATATCATCTGCCCATCTCATTTGGGGCCTTCCTCTGCTTCGTTTATATTCCCACGGTCTCCAACTTATAAGAAATTTGTTCATCGGTCTTCTTTTTGTCTTATATTGTGTCCGGCAAATCTCCATTTCAATTTTGCAACTTCTTGTCTAACATCCCTCACTTTTGTTTTCTCTCTTATCCACTCGTTTCTCTTCTTATCCATTAGTCTTTCCATTGCTCTTTGGGTTTTTATGATTTTGTCCATGTTTGCTTTTGTAGATGTCTACGTTTGGGAACCATAAGTAAGAACAGGGAGTACGCCCTGATTATATATTTTGGTCTTAAGATGCTGTGGATATCTTTTGTTTTTAAGAATGTAGCTTAGTTTACCAAATGCCGCCTATGCCAGTCTAACTCGTCTCTTGATCTCTGCTGTTTGGTTCTCTTTGTTAAGTTTTATAGTTTGACCAAGATATATATAATTCTTAACTTGTTCTATTTCATCCTGTCCGATTCTCATTGTGATGTCTTCATCGTTATTTGTTATAGTTTTGGTCTTGATGTAATTCATATTAAGACCTATCTTTCCAGCTTCTACGTCCAGTTCTTTCATCATTTCAAATAATTTTTCTTTTTTATCGGTTATCAATACGATGTTATCAGCGTACCTTAGATGGTTCAAGCGTTGTCCACAAATTTTTATACCTTTTTTTCCCCTTCTAATCTTTTAAAAGTATCTTCAAGAGCCTGATTGAAAAGTTTCGGTGATATTGTATCACCCAATGTTCGACACTGTCGAAAGCCTTTTCGAAATCTATGAACGCCATATATAGAGGAATGTGGTATTCATTTGCTCGTTCTATAAGTATTTTCATACTTAGTAAATGGTCACTTGTGCTGAATCCCTTTCTAAAACCAGCTTGTTCTTTCGACTGGTATCCATCGAATTTTGTCGGCAATCTATTGGTTAAAATTTTTTTTAGGAGTTTATACATTACATTGAGGAGTGTTATAGGACGGTAGTTTTTTATATCTGCTTTATCCCCTTTCTTGTGTAGGATAATGGTTACTGACTCCTTCCAGTTGTTTGGGATTCTTTTTTCTTTTAATATCTTGTAAAAAAGCTAATGTAGAGTATTAATGACCACTTTTCCACCATATTTCAGTATCTCTGCAGTTATTCCATCTTTTCCAGGCGATTTGTTGTTTTTCATTTCTTTCAATGCCTTCTTTATTTCTGATTTGCTTATTTCGGGCTGCAGCTCTGAGTTGACATTTTTTATTTTGACCTTAAGTTGGTTTTTAATTTCTTCTGGTGGTTCCTTTTTTGTTTTATATAATTCTGAGTAGAAATGATGGATTATATTTATGATGTCATCTTTAACGCTTGTTTCTATTCCATTTACATCTTTTATTTTGTTTATTTCAAACTTACCTAATTTCGGCCTTAAGCATTTTATATTTTTGTTGTTTTGCATTACTTCTTCTATTTTTATTTCTTGTTCTTTTCTCTTATTTTCTTTTATCATTCTGCTTATTGTTTTATTAATTTCTACATATTCTATAGATTTCCTTTTGCCTTCTTCGTTCAGCTTCCTTCTTTTATCCATAAGCTTCTTTGTTTCTGTTGATATATAGTTGTTCTTTTTTAGATCCTTCTTTGCTATTTCTTTTTCTGATGTAATCATTGTTGCTGTAAGTGTGTTGTCTATTTCGTCTATATCTTTATCGTCACTGTCTAATCTTTGGGTAAGTTGTTCCTTTAATAGGTCTTTGTATATCTCTTTATATTGTCCTAGTTTGTTTCTATCTACTAGATTACATTGTATTACATAAACATTTAAAGTTAGTAACAATGTTGGATATATGTCTTGTTATTACATTAAGTCAAAAAGTCATTTATTGTACGATTTTTTATATTTTGAACTGTACTATTAATCGTCACCCTAATGCTTCAGACGAGATTAATAAAAAATTAATTTTTCAGCATGGATGGTATGCCAGACCTGTAACATTGGGCGACTATCCAGTAGTGATGAAGAAAGTAATCGCTGAAAGAAGCGCACTTCAAGGCTTTACCCAATCACGTCTTCCACAATTTACTAAAGACGAAATCACGTATTTGAAAGGTACCCTTGATTATTTGGGGTTGAATTATTATACCACATTTATGGTAAGAGATTCTGATGATGAAAAAATCAGCGATATATCTTTTGAAGCTGATGCAAATATAAATGCTTATCAAAAAGAAGAATGGCCGAAATCTGCCACGCCATGGTTAAGGGTGAGTATTATTTGTTTGTTAAGTCCATCTGTTTCTTTCCTTATATTATTGCAATTATCAAGCTACACTTTCTTTAGATCACAGTGTTCCTTTATTTCAATAAATTAAAATGATCCAATTCATTAATAAAATACGTCTTCAAATTGCAGGTTGTTCCTTGGGGATTAAGAAAACTCTTGAACTGGATCAAGATCACATATGGTAATATCCCAATATTAATAACCGAAAACGGTGTATCAGACGATGGTTCGTCTCTAGAAGATGACGCAAGGGTTGACTATTACCAGGTAAGTCAATAGCTTCTGTAATTGACAGCGTTTTTTATATAGAATTATTGTTTTAGCAACACTTAAGCAGTTTGAAAGATGCGATGGATGATGGAGTAAATGTTTTCGGTTTTACAGCGTGGAGTCTGATGGATAATTTTGAATGGTTACAAGGATACTCGTAAGTATTTCTCAAGCAAAATATTGTACGTCTAGAGAAGTATCTGCTATGCTATTTTTGATCTATTTCATAAATACAAAAATTAAGTTTTATTGAAAGAGTATGAAGATAGAAGAAGAAACTGGGAGCGATAAGATACATTAGGAGAAACTCTATCAATTTTGAAACACTAAAGAGATAGGTCCGAATAAAAATTAAATAGGAAAAGGTCCGAGACCAAACCACATCGTCAACTTCGGCTGTCTGATTTTATCCTGATTTGTGTTCCATTATTCCTTTATTTTCTTTGGTATTTTACATCGTTTTGGACATATCTAACAAGAATGACGAAGTCATTACTGTAGATATTAATAAAACTTCATTGGTCCCAGTTTTGTTTAATCTCGACATCTAAAAACAGAAAGATCTTTTCATGTAGCTTTGGCTAAAAATAATAGATCATAAAAAATAGGTGATAATACAAACACATTCAGCCTTTAGACCAAGTTCAGTTATTCATTCAAGGCTTGTAAGTGTAGCTGTGTAGAAGTCTTTTGGATCATCTCGGTGTCACCTCAATTTACATGCATATCTGGAACATAACAGACGCAGCTTGAGGTAGACAGTTTTCTCTATTTATAAAGATTCCCCATTTTGGTCAGTCATTGTCTTTTTTATCTCCAAATTGACCGAAAAGATCCCATTCACTTACGAGTGCACTTTTTTATATTGAATTAAACGGTCATACTCCTTAAAGATATATTATATATTGTAATTTTTTGTTGTATATTTACATTTTTAACTCCATATTTATATTAAAATTATATTAAAAATTTTAGGGAACACTTCGGGCTGTACCGGGTGGATTTTTCAAGCTCGAATCAAACAAGAACGCCTAAGAAATCTGCGAAGTACTTTAAAAATGTGATACAATACAGATGTGTTTTAGGAAACTCTACATGTGATAAATAAATTAAATTTGAGATAACGTAGTTTTATATTTTAAAAATGTTTACAAACGAAAGCGAAATACCTGGACTATGATCAAAAAACGTAACAAACCATCATTTTCCCGCCCTAATTATTAAAGGCTCGCATTAAACAAGACTAAAAATATTACTTAAATTTGGGAGATATATTAATTTTCGTTTTAAAATCTGATTTATTAAACGCTTTAACGCTCACAATTTAATATAGGGCGATGAATATCCTTTACAGATATTCCTTTTTGATGAATAATAGGAAGTATGTTTCACTCTTATCGTTTTTAGAAAATGGATGGATGAATTTGAAACATTTTCGTTGTGTCAAAATTTTTGACGCTTTGTATTTACGACAAATACTCCTAAGCAATTAAAACTTTCTAGAGCGCCATAATTTAAGATGTTTTGTAACGTTATTATATTATGTTATATAGATATTGTTATGATTTGTAAAATTGAAAATAATATTGGTTTGCTTTTAATATATTTCAAAGTACAAAATAAAAGATGTTTCGAAGAAATGAAAGTCCATTATCCTTGATTACCTGTAGTAAACAAAATTTAAAAATATACATAAATTATTTTCTTTGTAGAATATATTCGAGTGACGTGAGTGAGCTTAGTGAAATCGTGAACAATGCGAGCGGGTTTTCCAAATAGATTTGTACGTCGATATACAGGAATACCTCGGAATAAGACAATAGAATAAAAATATTTAGAAAATATAATTCTCCGTTAGTTCTTAAGAATTTGTAAAAACCGATTAGCATGTTATTAGTTGTTAGGAAATTTATAATTGTAGGTAAAATTGTTGTTTGTTATTTAAATTGTAGATGGGGATAAGTGTGACGAACTCTGATTGAAGCAGATTGAAAAAAGTGGGATAGGTATGTAGGAATGAGAGTTTAGCTAGATTTTTGAGGGAGAAAAGATAATCAGTTGTTTTCCAAGGGTGCAAGACGAACAGTCGTTGTTCTCTGGTGGTTCCGCAGAGGTAGTAAGCAGTAGAAGTGAATGTTTGTAAGTTTTCGTGGAGTAAGTGTATCTTACAGAAGCTGATCCAGTAAAATATTGTAGGTTATATTTTTCTACTTATATTCCAAGAGTCACTGTTCAGGCCAGAACGAGAGATTCAGTTTATCGAGAGGAGAAGAGGCTAGCATCATTTTAACGATACGTGCATTTGAAGGAGATCATTAAAGACGATAGGCTCGCAATAATTTGTTGTAAATTTGCTAATTACCTAGGGGACTGCTAAAAATAGATAGTGTAGGCTACAAGGAACAAGGATTTGAACAACTCATCATCAGAGAGATAGTTTTCCATTCGTCAGTATTTCTTTATCAACAACACATTTTTTTCCAATTGCTCTAGAAAAGATAGGAATATTTTGATCAGAAGATTTAGAACAACAATTTTGATTTGAAATTTTAATTTATATTTAATCTTTTAGCGAAAGCCGCTATCGCTTTATTATATTAAAAGGCCAAATATATGGCATAGGAGACAAATTCGTTAAACTTCCCGTGCTCGAATCGGTATCACTAAAGTGTTATGATCATTTCGGCCTATCCCAGCCATCGTCGGGCACTTGGGCTGATACAAATTTAAACTCGGAAAGTAAAACGAATGTCTCCCAGAACTTCACTACAGCGTAGTTAGCTTACAAAGACGATACCGATTCGATCACATGAAGTTTAACGAATTTGTCTCCTAGGCCATATATTTGGCCTTTTAATATAATAAAACGAGAGCGGCTTTCGCTAAAAGATTTAATCTTTCACATTTCGCATAGCACAAAGGATACAGAAAACGATATTATCATATCGTTTCGTTCACGGTCACCAAAGCAGGTGGCGCCTTTGTAAGCTAACTACGCTGTAGTGAAGTTCTGGGAGACATTCGTTTTACTTTCCGAGTTTGAATTTGTATCAGCCCAAGTATCTGACGATGGCTGGGATAGACCGAAATGATCATAAGACTATAGTGATACCGATTCGAGCACGGGAAGTTTAACGAATTTGTCTCCTAGGCCATATATTTGGCCTTTTAATATAATAAAGCGATAGCGGCTTTCGCTAAAAGATTTAATCTTTCATATATATATATATATATATATATATATATATATATATATATATATATATATATATATATATATATATATATATTTGAATTTATTAACAATTTTAAACTACCACAAGGCTACATTTTAGTTAATTTTGATGTGGTGTCTCTCTTCACTAACTTACCTTCGTCCAGTGTTATCACATCCTTAAAAAATCATTGGAATTCTATCAAACCTAACTGCCCTGTTTCTTGGGATGTATTTGCAGAGCTTTTGCAACTAGTTTTTGACACTAATTTCTTGGTCTTTGATGACAAATACCTTCAAATATTTGGCACACCTATGTGTTCCTCAATCTCTCCCATCCTAGCTAACTATGTATTGGATGATTTGGTTTCTGACCGTTTAGGTCTTTTGGATTTTCAAATTCCTTTTATTAAGAGGTATGTGGATGATTTATTATTCAAGGTTCAGGGTACCTTATCCTTCTTTAATGAATTTGATCCTCATTTACAGTTCACTGTTGAACTTGAGATCACTCAAGGTTGACTGTCTTTTCACGGTTTAGTTCGGTCTGTTTCAATTAACGCCATTTTCCCGGCGGCAGCTGTGAGGCTTTGATCGGTAACTTCATTTACACTACTTTTTAAAATAAATTTTTTATTAAAATCACTTTAATAATGCTACCTAAAGTAAAAATCAAAGCTAAATAATTATCAAATAGTTGGAAGTAAATCTATGATTTTCTTGGTTCTTTTTCACTACTTAATATAAAATAAAATATTACTTATACTTTAGACCACATATTTTTTCTTTATTTTTATATTTATATAATATTTTTTCTTTTATTTCGGAATTCCTTTCTCCGGATTTAGTTATTTTAACTCCTAGGTATTTGAAGTATTCTACTTCTTCAAACTCAGAACTTCCTATTTTGATTTTTTCTTTCATTGGTTTTTTTTCCTAATCTTAATATTTTTGTCTTGTCTTGATTTAATCTTAGCCCCATTATGTCCCCTTTATCTCTTATTTCTTCAAACATTTCGTTCATTATTTTTCTGTTCTTTGCAATAATAGCAATATCGTCTGCATATGCAATTATTTGACCACCTCATGTTCTAAGATTTCCTTTATATATATTTCGCAGTACATATTCTAATTCTAGGTTAAATAGCGTTGTTGATAAGGCATCTTATTTCATCCCTTTATTTCTACTGGATTCCTCTGTCTCTCCTCTTTGTGTCTTTATGCTTATCTTTGTAGTTCTCATTGTCATTTCTATTAATTTTCTGAGTTTATGTGGAATTTTTAATTTTTTAAGTGCTATCATTAATCCGTTCCTTTTAATTGACTCAAATGCCTGTTTGAAGTCTATGAATAACATTTCCAATTCTAATTTATACTCGTTTGCTTTTTCCATTATTTGTTTTATTGTGTATATTGCATCTATTGTAGATCTTCCTTCTGTGAATCCACATTGGTACTGTCCTACTGTCTTCTTTGTGATCTTTGATAACCTCTTTTTTATCATTGATGTCAATATTTTATGTTGTATTTAGTAACGTTATTCCTCTATAATTTTCACAGATTTGTTTGTCTCCCTTTTTATGTACTGTTATGATCTGCCCTACCTCCCAGCCCCCTGGCATTTTCTCTTCTTTCCATATATTTTTCAATAGTGCCAGTATTTTTCCTCTTAGTTCCCTTCCCCTGTATTTTATTAGTTCCATATTAATTTCATATTTACCAGGGCTTTTCCATTTTTGCTTCTCTGTATTACTTCATCCAATTCCTCTAATGTTGGTTCTTTTGAAACTTCGATGTCTACTTCACCTGCTTCTTCTTCGTGCACCGTTTTCTTCTCGTTATGCATTTCTTCTTCTGTTGTTTCCTCCGTCAAGAGCTCTCTATAGTAATCTCTCCATACTTGCTTGTATTCTTGGTCCTTTATTATCACTATTCCCTCTCTATTTTTATTCCGTTTGTTTTGCCCTTGTATTGTTTGTTTTGTTCTTTAATCTTTTTGTAAAAACTTTTCGTATTTCTGTTTGTTCTTTCCTGCATTTTTTTGTCTACCCATCTTCTTTTATTTTGCCTTATCACTTTCTTAGCATTCCTTCTTAATTTTTCATATTCTTCTCTGTCTTCCTCTTTATCTGTTCTTAGCCATTTATTTCTGGCTTGCACTTTTTTTCCTGTTATTTCTCTACATTCTTGGTTATACTAGGTTTCCTATTTTCGTAAACAGTTCTTTGCAATACATCCAAAGTTATTCCACGTCCAACTTCGCTCTATCTAACAATTTGTTTTTGCACGTCACGTTTCATTTTTCAGATTGTGGTAATTTATGTGGTCGTATCATTGTCTTTGCCGTAGCTTCCTAAACAGAATAGTTTTTTTATAAAAGAATTTTCAGACCTGTAACAAAAACTTGGACGATGGTTCTATTGGCATTTTCTTTGTGTTAACAACATATAATTGCATGATGAAGACCCTTAAAATTATAAATGAACCTTCTTGGTCGATGTTTGACGAAACGATATATTTTAGTGCCAAAATGTAAAAAGTATTTATTTTAAGTCTACTACTAATGAATATCAAACTATTGGTTAATGAATAAATCAAGTATTTCTTTAATAAAAGTGTTTAAAGTCATACGCACAAAGAAGAATTGAGCTATGTCAAAATTTTCCAAAATGTTAAAAACTTACGTATTCCGTAGCAAGTAACTCCACTTACCTAGAACAAAAAAAAATCAGTTTAAATATAAAAAATGATAAAGAATAGGTGTTTCGTATTTCATTGAAAATATGTCTGCCATGAAAATGTAAACAAATTGTTAACAAATACCCAAATTCGTCAAAGTGTGGATACGTATTTTTAAATACTCTCTGCATTTAAAGTTTATTTCATTGAATTTA